GGAGCCCGATGCGGGGCTCGATCCCAGGACCCTGAGACCATGACCTGAGCCGAAGGTAGACGCTTAACGACTGAGCCACCCAGGCGCCCCTTTAGTGAGATAATTCAAATAAAGGGCCTGGCATAGTAAAGGTTCCTTTTTTTTTTTTTTTAAGATTTTATTTATTTGAGAGAGGGAGAAAATGAGCAGGGGGAGGGGGAGCAGGGGGAGAAGCAGACTCCCTGCTGAGCAGGGCGCCCCAGGTGGGGCTGGATCCCAGAACCCCAGGATCACGACCTAAAGGCAGACGCTTAACCGACTGAGCCACCCAGGTGCCCCTAATTTACTTTAAAAATAAACAATATCATGGGGCTCCTGGCTGGCTCAGTCCGCAGAGCATGCCACTCTTGATCTTGGGGTCCTGAGCTCAATCACCACGTTGGCAGCAGAGTTTACTTAAAAACAAAACAAAATGGGCGCCTGGGTGGCTCAGTTGGTTAAGCGACTGCCTTCGGCTCAGGTCATGATCCTGGAGTCCCAGGATCGAGTCCTGCATTGGGCTCCCTGCTCAGCAGGGAGTCTGCTTCTCCCCCTGACCCTCTTCCCTCTGGTGCTCTCTATCTCTCATTCTCTCTCTCTCAAATAAATAAATAAAAACTTAAAAAAAACCAAAAACCCCATTATCTTTATGTAAATGATAAATGTAAAAATGACAGTCGTGATGATTAAACCCTTATAAAATGGAACATAGAAAGTTTCCAAATTGTGCACACCATATTATTTTCAAGCTTTTAAATACTCAAGTTTTTCTTTTTCTCTGGTTCCTTTGGTCATAAAAATTAGGCCAGTAGAGAGCCCGTACATACTCCAGCATGGGACATGCAGACGGGTCCATATACATGCAATGCACACACCCAAACACCAAGACCACACACACACACACACACACACACACACACCCCCCCCAAGATTTGTTCGCAGAATAACCCCCATTAACCCCGCCTGTCCCCTCCCCATACCACTGTGACATATGTACACAAACACTGGAGGCAAAAGTGTTGGGAGAAGTAGCCGCCATCAGCAATAGGGTCAGGATCTTTGATCCCAGGTAGGACTCGGCTGAGGAGAAGAGGCAACACCCACGAGGGAAAAGGCCGGGGGGAAGCGAGGTCCGCAGAGGTTTGGGAAGTTTCCTTCCCACCCGCTCACAGAAAGTCCCATCGAGCGAGCCCCCAACCCCCCCCCCCACGCTCGGCCCCGGTAATTGTGACATCACCAAAGGAGGGCGCCCCGCCTGGAGGGTCTAGGCGTTGCTTTGTCTAGTTCGCTGAAGTCACAAGGATTTTCGCGCTTTTAGAGAATCTGCGGGTCCGTAACGTCAAAAAGGACAATGAACCGATTGGTTTGGCCGAGGCGGGCTTCAAGCCCCGTTCCCTAAGGTTTGCAGAAACCCCAAATGAGATCGCTCTCAAATTCGGGGGTGGAAAGTGATTCCGCGAGCTCAGTGAGCTCAATCCGGGTCAGCGGCCTGCGCTAATTCCCTTTCGTGGAGAAAGCCGAGGGGGCGGGGGTGGGAATGGGGAGCCCTCCCAAGAGGTAAGATGCCCGGATTTGGGAAGTCGCGCCCCGCCACCAGGGCCAAGCTCTGCGGGGACAGCCGGCGGGATCGTCCGGGGCGCTCTTCTAATAACCTGTTGGGTTTTCCGCAGAATGGGCGGAACCACGTGGCTCTGGAAGTACCGGCGGGCGTGGTGGTCTTGCTGGGCGTTGTAGGGCGGAATCGCCGACCAGAGCTTGGGCCTCAGGCGCTCATGGGCGCGGGCCTTGGTGCTCACCGCCACGCAGTCCAAGACGAAGCTCTTCTCCAGCCGCAGAGGACACTCGCACAAGTGCGACATCCCAACCACTGCAGCCTCCAAGGGCCTTTCTGGTGGGAGTGGAGGGCCCCAGCTAGGCAGGGGCTCCCCTGCGCATTAGTCGCATTGTTACGTGGTGCGGTGTCAAAGACTCCTGTGACACAAACCGTACCGTCCCACCCAACTCTCAGGGCTGTGGGGTTAAGTCACTCGCAAGGCCCCGAGGCGAAGGGTGACTAAGGGGGACCAATGCAGGAGGCATTGGATTTTGGAGAGGGTATTACTGAATTTAGTTGGTGCGAACGCAGGCCCACTCCTCCTCCTCCCCACCTTACTATATACATTTACTAAACTCATTTCCAGGTAAGAACTCATACTCAGAATGGATAAGAGTTCAGATACCATCTACTTCCAACTCTCATTTTTCGTAATTCTAAGTTGAAACTCAGAAACATTGGGATATTCCCTAAATCCATTTAGTGGCAGATCCAGAACCAGAATTCAGGTCTCCTGACTTCCCACTAAGTCCACTTAAAGCACTTCTCCCCACCTTATTGTTTTCATCAGCCAGTACTCCTCCTCCTGTTAAAAGTTTTTTTAAAAACCAGGAGGGCCCGAATGGGGCTCCCTGCCCAGGGAAAGTCTGCTTCTCCCTCTGCCCCTCCTACAGCTCGGGCTCTAATAAAATCTTTTTAAAAACCCAGCAGGTTAACACATTGCCATGTTTTCCTCTAATTTTGTGGATGTGACAGGATACAGCAAACCATTAACAATGAGTTCCTCTAGTTGCTGTGATTACAGGCAACTTTTACTTATTTCCAAAATGTAATAAACCCCTTACAAAGATGCTTTACACATCAAGGTGCCTTATTCAGTGCCCCTCACACCCAACTCTATGAGGTGCTATTATCCTAACACGAGACAGAACACGAGACAAAAGGATCAGGGAAATCTTTTATATTCACTATTATATGAAAGCACATTATTTTTTTAAGATTTGAGAGACCGTGATAGTGCAGGATCGGGGTGAGAGGGAGCAGACTCTCCGCAAACAGGGCAGAGCTCGATCCCAGGACCCTGAGATCATAACCTGGGCAACTGAGCCACCCAGATGCCCCAAAGGCACATGTACTGCATCTATACACAAACCCCACTAATCCTAGCAGTTTAATGCTCAGCAAACTTAATGTTTCTAGTTGCCCCACTCTGACCTAACCACTAGTATACCTCTATAAGTACTACAGTTGAGGCAAAAACAGACCAAGGTAACCTTCAGGCTCTTGGGACATTGTCCCAGGGAACTTCCGTGCAGATCTTTCATCCTCCCCTATCTGTAACACCTTCTTACTAGCCGCGGGTCCCTCTCTCCCTGCTACCTCAGTTCACACCAGCCATTGCTGCCCATGCATCTAAAATGTCTTCCACTTCCATAGGCTCCATGGCCATCTGCTCCCCAACCACAGCCCCCAGTTCATAACACTAGTTTTGGAGAATGCCACGTAAAATCCTCCTCCTCCACATTTGGCTCCCCACCATTACCACTACCAGCAGACACATGGATTAACCAGGTCTGGCAGGGGTGGGGGCCGGCACTCCTGCCATACCTCCAACACATAATACAATTGGCCCCCGGGCCCAACCTTCTCCTCAGAATTCACTATGACAGGTAAATTCCTAGAAATCTGAAATTACAGGAAATTAAGTCTATAGTTTTTTGAGTCCATTCTACTGGAATTTGGAAAGAACCTGGAAGACAGAAAAGGCAAGGAAAGAGGCCCAGCCCTCACACCTCTTTATTTGAAGCAGGAAGACATTTCATACAGAGCTCACACAAGGGGATAAAAAACATTGATTTTATTCATTTTTTAGATATTGAGAGCAAGCAAGCACAAGCGTGGGGTGGGGGAGCCTGATGCTGTGTTCGACCCAGGGCCCTGGGATCGTGATCTGAGCTTAAGGCAGACACTTAACCCACTGAACCACCCACGTACACCAAAAAGAATTTTAAATGGAGGACCTGCAGGCCTCACATCACATCAAAGACTTCAAATTCACCAGGGTGGAGCATAGGGTAGGAAGACAGGTCTGTTTTAAGAGACTTCTGGATTTAATATTCCTAAAACCAAGATAGGCTCAGTCTAGACAGCCCTGGTTCTCCATCTCGGCTGCACCTGGGGATCTCCCGGGGATCTTTAAAAAGTACTGATGCCTGGGTCCTCCCTCCACAATCTGACTTAATTGGGTCTGGGCTATTGCCTTACTCCTCTGGTTGAGCACCATTGATTAGGTCTAGTACATTCCATTCTGAATCTTGAAGGACAAAAGGGTGGTCATCTTACCAAGTGAGTATGTGCTAGGGTCTAGGCATCCTCTAATCTTCAGCCTTACAAAGAACACCTAAGGCTGAGTATTTGCAGATACTAGATGTGTGAACACAAATTTTGGTCTAAGAAGCCTATTCCAACATCTTTAGGCCAGACTATTGACCCAAACCTGCTGAATGCTCATTTTTCCCCTCAGGCCCCAAATGTCACATAAATAAAGGGTTTAGGAAGAAAAACACAGTGTCCGATGCCTTCCAGCAGAATTTGCCAAGGTTTATGCCCACTGTTGGTTAATTCTATCACCTTTTATTCATGAATTAGGGTTTGGCAGGTACACTATACAGCTATCCTGTCAAAACGTTTTGATAGCAAAAACAATGCAGGTACTTTTAGTAACATCTTCCACAAGAGCAAATTTACAGGGCAATTATGTGTTAGGTTTTACAAACATAGTCCTTTATGTGCTGGTTTACCCAAAGAAAACCTGTAACTGCAAGTGTGCATATATACACACGCACCTGGTCCTTCCTCACATCACTCCGTGAACTCCATGTGTGTCCACCATCTGACCATTCACTCCACCTTATCTCAAATTAAGCACTTGGGGTAACCTCTCATCAAACACTATCTACTGTCTGCAATTTACTCTTGTAAGGACTCCAAACACAAATAAGTTTTTACAGCAGAAATTGCAAAGTCCGAAAGTTTCTGTAGAGTCACAAAGCATAAGTACTGCACTGAGCAATTTCATTTTACAAAAGGTTAGGGGGTGTCAAGAAGAGTGACAGGTAGAAAAGAACAAGAAGGCAAACACTGAGAGCAAATAATTTTTAATTAACAAATACACCAAAGAATCATGCAATGCTGCCAGCATTGGATGCAATCCTGGGCCACAAGTCTGCACACTCCTTTGCAACTGGTCCTGTGATAGCAGAACCTACATAAAAAAAAGGAATGAGATGACAGATAAGATCAGACAGATCCAGAGATGAAATCATCCCATCTCAAAGACCTAGGCAACACCGTGGTTTCTTTCTTACCTTTCATTTCACCTTTGTTGTTTACTATGACCCCCGCATTATCTTCAAAATAGAGAAACACACCATCTTTTCTCCGGTATGACTTTCGTTGTCGAATTACCACTGCTGGATGTACTAAGAGGGAAAACAGGACAGCAGTCACTTACCTGTCAAGTAAGTAACACCACAAGAAAGCAGTTTACATCTCATCCAGTTCCCCAACATTTCCCACTTGAACAGAATGTAGACTCACCGTTTGCTTATTTCCTAAAAGCAAGTGTGAAAGAGCAAATACCAATCGCCCCTTAAGGAAAGACCTTACTCCAAGTCAAACAGCCAGCACTTCCTGCAAGTGTAAATCTGTACTCTTTAGAACAATTAGCAACACACCAGCAGGAAACTTGCCAAGCACCTTCTATACTTGTTCCCATTTCACCCAACAGGTAGATACTGTTAAGATCCTAGTACCACAAGGGGCAGCTGGGCGGCTCAGTTGTTAAGCATCTGCCTTCAGCTCAGGTCATGATCCCAGGGTTCTGGGATCAAGCCCCGTATCGGGCTCCCTGCTCAGCTGGAAGCCTGCTTCTCCCTCTCCCACTCCCCCTGCTTGTGTTCCATCTCTCGCTGTCTCTCTCTCTGTCAAATAAATAAATAAAACCTTAAGGAAAAAAAAAAGATCCTAGTACCACAAAATGGGAACTCCTTTTGGCCTGTGTAAGCAGAGGTCAAGCTATTAACTCATTAGGCAATATTCCATCCCAGTATATATCAAAACCTCCAAGTACGTACATACCTTGATCTAAGAATTACTGCTTTGAAAGTTTGTTGGGATTAAATATGTACCATGTTAGATTTTAAGAGAAGCTCATTTACATACAAATTTAACCAAAGAAAACCTACAACTAAAGATGCGCGTATATGTATATACTCACTCCTTGAACCCCAGGAGCACATCCCAGGATCTTGACCACACACTCTACACCTTATCTCAATGCCCAACTGCGGGCACATGTGTTATTAGAGCAAAAACTTGGAATTAACCTATCTCATGGCCAATACACAAAAACAGACTCATTTAAAAATGATTATGTCTATCTGTAACTTTTCACATGTAGGACAATCATCTATGCAGCAAAAAGAACGAGTTATGGGAAGGCCATGGTCCCATTTAAAAAGTTTACAAGCTAATTTTTTGCACGTTAAAGGAAAAAGAAAAGACAGGGCACCTGGGTGACTCAGTTGCTTAAGTATCTGCCTTGGTCCCAGGATCAAGCCCTGCATCGGGCTCCCTGCTCAGCGGGGAGTCTGCATCTCCCTCTGCCCCTTCCCTCCCACTTGTGCACTCTCCCTCTCTCAAATAAAATCTTAAAAAAAAAAAAAAAAGCAAAAAAATATTATATTAACAGCGATCATCTCTTGGAAATCTGAAAGTAGGGTAATTGAAATTTAATTTCTGAGGCACCTGCGTGGCTCAGTTAAGTGTCTGCCTTCAGCTCAGGTCATGATCCCAGGGTCCTGGGACCAAGCCCGGCATCGGGCTCCCTGCTCAGCGGGAAGCCTGCTTCTCCCTCTCCCCCTCCCCCTTGCTTGTGTTCCCTCTCTGTCTCTCTCAGTCCAATAAATAAAATCTTAAAAACAAAGACCCGGAGATCAAGAGTCACATGCTCTACTGACTGAGCCAGCCAGGCGCCCCTACTCA